CCGCCGTGGAGCCCCCGGGAGCGGTCGCTGCTGGCGCAGCTGTCGGCGCTGCAGAGCGAGGTGCAGCTCACGGCGCGGCGCTGCCAGGCCAAGTTCGGCCGCTACATGAGCCACATCAGCAGCATCACCCGGAGCCTGGCGGGCGCGCAGCCCGGCAAGGTGAGGAACCCGCCTCGGCCCGCCGGGCCCGCCGTGGGCGCCCTCGCCCGTGGCGTCGGGGCGGCGCCGGGACGCGGCCCCCGCAGCCGGGCGGCTGCCACAGCAGCCGGCGCTGGTGGCCGGGCGAGCGCCGGGCAGCAGCGCGGAGGGGACAGGGCTTCGGGGAGGGCCGGGTGCGAGTCCCCTCGAGGGGGCTGTCACGGTGCTGGTTTCTGCGTGAGCGGCTCTGCAGTTGCTCTCGAGTTGCTCGGGAAAGAAAAAATCCTTTGGAGCAAAAAATCCTCGGAAACTTTGGAAACTACTGTGAAAAGCCAGAAAAGTCTCTTGCATTTGGGGAGTGAAATAGCAGCCGCCAGCATTGACAGCAGAGACGCGTGCGGCGCTGCTCGCTTTTTTTGAGTCTGATGACACTGCCCGCATGGGACTTGTGTCCTTCAGACTCAATCAGCCCCTGAGCGCAGCGGTCACTTGGCTCTGCAGCTTTGAGGGTTTTGCTCTCACAGGCTTTAGTTCCTTGGATGTGCAGGATCTGGCGCTCGTCGGTGAGAGCTGATTTAATATAATTTAAGCTCCGCTCAATGTATTTTTCCCTCCAATTTTTATAGACCCTTGGGAAGTGAAAACTCTTTTATAGACCCTTGGGAAGCAGGAGGGAAGGATGTGAGCAGCCAGGTCACTGCTGAAGTACAGTGATGTGCTGAGCATCCACTGCTGCATGTGAACTGGGGAGAGGGACATTGCTCTGAAGTGTCCCTGGCGCCAGCTGCTTGTGGCTTCTTGGCACCGAGACACTTCATGCTTGGCGACTTTGACAATCTTTTTCCCCCTTTCTTTGCCCAACTTCCTTTGGGTAGCTAATCCCTAGATCTGAGGTCCAGGGTGTTGGCTGGAAGGGGTGCTCCTGCGCCTGCTGCGTCCCTTGGAGGATGTGATAAGGTTTTAGGATGGAGGCCAGCAGGGATGCAATGTGTGGGATGGGTGAGGAAAGCGGAGCCAGCCGAAGGGAGAAGAGAGATCTGGCTTTTTAGAGGGGAGCTGGCACGTATATGATCCTGTGTGATTCTGTATGCGTTTTGGCTGGTGTGAAGGCACCTCCTGGGCCACTCTTGAGTATGTGCCATAGCTGGACACCGCCGGTAGATGCTGCTGTATGTTCTGCCTCGCAGAAATGTCTTTTGCAGGAGACCAGGCTAACGAGCAAAACAGGCACTTGGAAGAAAAACTATCAATAAAGTAGAAAAGTACTTCATTAAAATTAATTGTATTGTGCTGCAATAAAACATGTCACTGTCACAGTTAATAAAATGTGGACTTTGACGTTATGTGATGTATTTTGAATGTTTAGACATGTATAATATATTTAGGAGTCAAATTTGCATTAATCAACCAATTTATGCAGAATGGCAAGCACAGATGCTTTATTGTACTGGGTGAATACTTTTTTTTTTTTTTTTTTTTTTGGGTAGGGATTATGCTTCCTGAAATGTGACTATTTTTATATATGAACAATTTAAGGAAACTAACTCTGCTCAAGCCTCTAGGTTGTATGTTGATTTTATTACTTAGAAAATTATTTACCTGTTCTGAAGGAGAAGATGTCATTCCTTTTTTTTTTTAATTTGATTGCATCACTAATTTTGATTGTTTGCTGTATATTTTAAACCTTTCCTTAAAAAAAGAAATCTTTGCAGAGATATTTTCTAGACTTTCTTTCTATTTGGAACAGAAGTAAAACATTGGTATAAGGAGTTGGCTTTCATTCTTTGTATTTTTCCTATAAACTGCTATGAAACCTGTATGGATATGGCTTTTGAGTCTGGAAGTTATAATGGTGAAGATTTCATCTGTGTGCTTAATGTCTTAAAAGTTAATACACATATAGGCTTTTTTTTTTTTTTTTTTTTTGGTAGAGGCTCACAGATATTTCTTTTTCCCAATCAACACTTAAAATAATCCGTCACTTTAACTACCTGATACATTTCAGTGACATATATCTTTTTACTTTTTGGTTCCAGCACAAAGTCTTTGCTATTTGTCTTTCAGCCTAATTTTCCTTTGAACTTTAGCTTACATAATCTCCTGTTTAAAAACAAACAAAAAAAAGGGCATTAGTGATTTCACTTAAGATGCTCTTCTTTGAGGCAATACTCTTAATATTATTTCACCTCTTTCTTTTTAGGGAGGAGAACCAAAATCTTTAACCATCATGCTGCACAGAGAAAATGATACTTTGGGATTCAATATTATAGGAGGACGACCCAATCAGGTAAAAAGAAAAGTACACATTGTTTACTTTTTAAGCACATTTTCTGTTATTGTATACATTAGTAGCAAAAGTTACTCTGCATGATGGTAGGTGTTGAATCAGCACCATAGGCTGAAGAACTGCCTATTATCAGGTGTAATTAGATTCATCATTTGAAGATCTAATCCTATGAGAACTGGATGATTCTCCTGTTCGTGAAAAGGGGTCCCCCTTGTTTCTGCTATAAAGCTTAGGCTTCTCTGCACTGTATTCCCATGAGTAAGATGTATTCATGCAAACTGCTCAATGGAAATCTGTGGGACTGTGTTGCAGGATTAATTCCTTGGAACTTTGGAAACTACTTGCTTTTATTTTTTTTTTCTTTTTCTTTTTAAGGACAGATGAAAATTTGATCTGTAGCTGAGATAGTTTAAGCATATGCCCTGCTCTCATATGTCTGCTTTCAATTTTTATTCCTTTGTGAGCTGAAATACAGCTTTCATTGATCTTGTATCTTAAATTAATCTAGCCTCATAAATCATCAGTCTAGCTTTAGAAGGCTCATTATAAGTCCTAGAATATGTATAGGAATATGCATTTTTTTCTCACTTCTTCTAAAAGTAGTAATCAGGACTGCCATTACTTATGAAGAGTAAAAAAACCCGTTAAACTGGAAAATTAATAGTTGATTAGAATGTTTGATAATAATTATGTACTGATCAGTTGTTTTTATTTTGAGTTGGACAGCTGTAACCTCCTGCTATTACTGGGGAGGGGAATGGGCCCCTATATATTAGTTTTGCAATGCTCAAAAGCTATATTTATATGTAAGCTTTATATATATATAATTTATATAAGCTATATATATATTTACATAGCTCTAAAGCTGTATTTAGTGGTGCCAAATAGTCTGTTCCCATTAGCACTAAAGCCAAAGAAGTTTACTGTCTGCTATGCAGAACTGCTGCTCCTTGTGGGTAAATATGAAGAACAGCAGTTATAAGATGCATATTTTAGGAAATCCAAAGCAAGAGTTTGATAGATTTTCTACTGGAAAGATGAAACAACAGGAGACTATAGGATAAAATACACACACTTTGAATATGCTAGGAGTGAAGTCCAAACAATGCTTTGGATTGCGAGCTGACTTTTGTTATTTATGTCTGCAGGGCTTTTGCAGGGAAAAGGGAATATGGTGCTCCCTTAATTTTGGTGGGGGATGTCATTTGTGTTTCTTTGAAGTTTTTACAGGCAGTTCACTGTACATTTTTGATATTAAAAACTATGAGGCTTTGTGAATGAATGCTCTAACTATTTTGGAAGTTTGAAGAGTAAATCGTAATTGTATGGAGGTTCTTAGCCCTGTTCCTGGAGGGAACTGCTCTGCTCAGGAGCAGAAGATGGTCACGGCCTGCCACTGACCAACACTCATAGCTGAAGAGAATTCACAAATTCAGTTTTGTGGTGTTACAGTCTTGCTGTGAAAAGCACCACAGTTGTTTGATAGGTAGTTCCTACATAATCCGTACAAGGTCTCATCAATCATGCTCAGAACCAAAGGGCAGAACAGGAAGAAAACGTTTTTTGTTGTTCCTCTTTCATTTTGATTAATGATTATTATGCTTCTTTTATCACAGTTGCATTTGTCACTGCTGAAATGAGTGGAGATCTGTTTGTTTGCCATTTCAAAATATTTCTGGAGCCACTGATCAGTTTATTTTGCTTCTTATCTGGCAATTATATGCCTCTGTGACAAAGGAAAACAAGAGGGGTTTACAACATCATAATCTGAAACTGAAGTCTGTCTGGCCTGAGTCTCCATGGGGCTTTGAATTGTAAAGCACCTTTCGTAGTGGCTCCATTTTTTTTTTAATCATTTTCTTAATAGAAAATGAATAAAATGATTTCTCCCTAAGAGCATAGGACCTTTCCTAGAAATCTGTACACACATGAATTGCAGTGTTGAATGGTGATCCGCTGGTTGTAGAAGGAAAATGAGAAGCATGTAAACTTCTATGCAAAGCCTAAAAGATCTGAAAAAAACTTTTTATTCATAGCTGTATAGGCTATTATTTTGACATAATCCTTTTATTAATAATGATTTAAAACTACATGTTGGACATTTGGGACTACACTCTATCATGCCATGAAATAATTTTAGCATGTTTAGCAACATCAGGTATATTATTCCAGCCGTGGTAGATAAATTACTAGCTTCAAATTTGGTCTTTGTGTGGACTGTACTTAGAAAGGCGTAAAGGTAACTGGAAGTGGCTTGTCTTTTTGTCCCTAGCTGATCTTTATAAATTTCACAGTTGAGCAAACTCTCAATCTCCCATGTGAATAAGATTTATGAGGTCAACCAGTTCCAGCCAAATCCTATCATTGGCTAGCTAATGTTGCTAACTAATGTCACTTAGTGTCTTGGGGCTTTATTTTCAGATCTAGGGAAATGTTTACAAACAACACTACTGCAGGATCACTTTCTTTTCCGAGAGGATCCTTGGATTTCTGTTCTTATGACTATCTTTCTCCATACATTTGCATAATACATAATATCTATTGTGAACTTTGAAGTCTATTTTAAATATTTTAACAAGGATCTGGTTACCATTGCACCTCATGTCTCATCTGGACTAAAATAAGCAGAGGTAAATGGATAATCTTGTCAAAAATGCCAGAATAGTTCATTAATTCTATCTTTTTGATTAATGGCTATTTTGTCTTGAGCAAGTTTTAAAAAAAAATCCCAAGGAGTTTAATCCTTAGCTAAAAAAGCCAGGCACATATTTCAGGTGGATTTGCATTTTTCATTGCTGCTGATTGTAGAACCATCTCATTTCTTGCACTAATGTTGCCTTTTTCTTGCGATTTCTGTCTCGGCTGGTACAGAACAATCAGGAAGAATCTTCTGCTGAGGGAATTTATGTGTCAAAAATTTTGGAAAACGGACCTGCAGACAAAGCAGAAGGCCTGAAAATTCACGACAAGATTATTGAGGTAAGAAATGAAACAATGCCTTACTCTGTGGTATGATCAGCTAATCATTCATTTGATGTTTTTTACACTAAATCTGTTGTAATTTTCCTCTTTTGGCGGATGCTAACATCATTCTAATACAATTAACAGCTCAAACATTTGTCAGATGTGAAGGCACGTTATGTTCTAGCAGTCAGTAGAGGTATTTGGTTTTTGTTGACCTAAAAAAAGGGCAAATGACTCTATATAAATTCACAGTTTTAATGTGGAATTGATGCCCTGTGTTGGGGTTATTACTGTTGTGATTTTGGGACAATTATGGAGGTGGTGCTGATAAGCAATGTTGTGAAACTACTTAACTAACTACAGGCTGTACCTCTTCCTGTATCATCAGATGTAGATCATCTGTTGTACTCACTATAATCAATACAACTCTTTTTCCCCCATCATGTAATGCACTAGCACGGAAATACTAAAATCTATTCCTGTTTTGTGAGCATTTTTTCCCATAGAAGAAAATAATGATAAACAAAAACAAGTCTGAAAAAGGTCATCTTCTCTCTTCTCTCATTCTGTGATCTGATGTAGATCGGTATTTCAGGAGACCATTTTTCAGTAATCAAAACCTGATATTTGGAGATGGTCTAATTGCTTCAACCAGTTGTTTGGCAGTGGGGTGCTCTGGGTATTCTTTTGAGCAGAGTGTCGCTAAGGGGATAATGGACAGAACTATTGCATTAAATCGGGAGAAAATCTGTTCTCAAGGCGTGTTGCTAAATAAAGAAGGTAATTTGTTTCAGTGCTTTATCAGATGTTTAACAAATGTTAGCCACACGGGGTTGATGAGTGAGCTGTGCACTTTTCGGATGACCATCTCACGTGTAAGCTAGTGCAGCAGATGGATTTCACGGTAGCTTGGCACTGGCAGCTGGAGTTGGGAAGCAAGCCTGGCAGACAACTAGCGCTGCATTTCCTTTTATGTAGCTCATTATCTATTGGGGGGTAGCAGCAGCTTTGTCAAATAATTGTAATTATATCTGAAATATGAATAAGGCGAGAAACTGTTTCTTAAGGTATTTGATATAAAAATGATACAGAAAAAAATGCAGTAAAAGTGATTTGAGTGAATGTTTTTGAAGTTAGCTGCCCAGAGTATGGGCAGTGAGATCTCTTTGGATTATTAGAAAAATGTTGAAGTTTATGTGGGCTTTACTGCCAGGTGAGCAATCTTTTATAGGGGATGACTGGTGGCCGACAGGCTGTGTTGGATCTGTGTGGAAGATGGTCAGCACTGGGAGAGGTGAAGGGCAATAGCTGCAGGTATCTTTTATCCAAGCATGCAATCAGGAGGCTGCCACTGTTCAGCTGAAGAATACAGGATTTTGGAGCTTTAAAGAGAGATTTAAAGATTTTATTTAAGGTTAACTCACCTGTGAGAAGAGACTTGTTTGTTTATGCTGTGATAAGCTGGATTGGGACAGTGATGTGCACAAGTCATTCTTTTGGCAGCATATTCTTTCAGGAAACTCACTGCAGGCCAGAAACAACCTTTAGTTGTTCATCAAGGATAAACTCTCCTTCATGAATTTACTTCTACATGGCAGGTTCCTCTAGAAGTTGGTGGCTTCTGACTCTTGCAGGCATTTCTTCCTGAAGGATATAGCTCCCTAAATTAACATAGCACAGAGTTTGTTCTGGGACTAAATACTAATCACATAGTGTAGAAAAAAAATCTCACAAAATCAGATGTAACATTGCTATTTGTGACACCCAACATAAAGCTTGGTGTATGAGTAGTCATATAAAGTCACCAGACATGACACCAGACATGACATCCAACATAAAAGGCATAAAAGGTATGTGGGTAGTCATAGACGAGTCACTAGATCTCTAACTTTTAGATATATCTTCCATCCATTCAACATCCTCTATCCAGGATGTTGAAAATGGACTGCATTTATAAATGCTATATATTATTTCATCTTCACCACACTTCATGCAAATCTTACCTCTGAGTAAGGCCACTGTTCATCTTTGCCAATGCTAATAGACTTCTCAAGACAAAGTGTAGTACAGAGCTATGAACCTTTGCAATGTTGTTAATCCACAGAAATGGTTTCCCTGTTGCCTCGTATATGTGTGCATAAATGTATACAGATCTATATGAATGTATAGTTATGAGTAGTGGCACTGGAAATGGCACTTTCTGCATGGAGGAAAATTGAAGTCAGTTCAGCTTTCACATGTGAGTGGCACACTTGGCCAGAGCTCTAACTACATTAATATCCTGTGGGTAGTCATTAGCTAATGCCTTTAGAAGAGCGTTGGAAAAGTGCAAGCCATGAGTGGTGATGCTTTCCTTGGGAAGCCAACAGTGATTTGTAAGTTTATATTCAGAACTAGTTCTTTAAATATTTTTTTTTTACTTTTAGGTGTAATATTATATTTTACAGAAATCATTATGTCATCTCTGGTTTAAGCCCAGCTTTTAGAAAAAGTGGTGACTTCATTTTTCAAGTTCTCTTTAGCTGTGTAAGTTATAGTGTCTTGCAAATATGACTGAGCTACTAAAATGAAATATGCTAGTAAAATACATGACCAAGACTAAGTTTATAATCCAGATGAAATTTATAAGTGTAAAAAAAAAAAGGCAGTGTTTGATTAATTTGAGGAAAAAGAGATATTGTGAATTTATATAGAAAGCAGAGCCTTAAATTCATAGCTGAACTTTCTGTAGCAAGTTTGCCAAATAACAAAACAGCAGTGAAAATGTTCTGTGCATTTAAAAATGTCTTAGGCTGAAGATCAAATATTCATAAGAAGAAATACAAACACATCATCATCTGGAAGAACTAAGTATTTTTCTGCTGCTTGCTCTACATGGCAAAGGCTTCTGTTATTTTTCTCTCAAATGAAATGAGAATATTGGCCCTTTTGCATTTCAGTCAGTTGATTCTCATTAATTTGATGGCTGAGAAACAGACATGATGGAGAGGAGGAGAATACATTTTTAGTCTCTGGTCTTTAAGCCTTTTTGAAAAAGGAGATGGATGCATATGTATTATGACTATGTATTTTGTTTATGCAGCCTGAGCTCCATAAGTATATAATAAATTAGGCTTCATCTCTTATTCCATGTTTCCCTTTGTTCTTTTCACTTTTTTTGGAGCGTACACACACAAGGGCTTTCAAGCTCATGTCAGCAAAGCCAGTTTCAATAAAGACAAAAAGTCTTGAGGCTTATCCTGGCAGCAGGAACGTACATCTGTAAAGCGCCTACACAGAAACTTTTTAACTATTGCCAGACTGCTGACTTTGCTGTGCGTCAGCCCTGTGATGTTTTATCTGCTGCATGTTTCCGTCATTACGCTCGCTATGTTGCTCAAGCAAAATCTTTGATAGTCCTCATGTTTGTTTAGCTAAGAAGCTCCGCTGTCAGATGATGGCGGTAGAAGTATTGAGCTTAAAAACTGTCTTGCTGGGATCAGAGCTCGTAAATTTGGGATGACTTTGAATCAAAGCTGCACATGATGTGAGCAGCAAGATCCGGGTGGTCGCTCGTGGAAATTTTTGTGTAGGATGCACAATTTTAGAGGTGTGGGTTTACGTGTACCTGAATCATCCCTAAATGGCCTTGTGTATATTAAGTTCTCCTAAATCCTTGTCAAGTTCATAATGTCTGGCACCTGCATTCATTAGATACCTCCTAATTAGTCTGAAAGATTCCTGGCAGAGTAAATTAGTCACAGTACAGCTCAGAAATGCCTGTAACCTCTTTTCCCCTCTCACTTACCTGTTGAGATGCAGGTTTGTGGACACCTGAATTAGCTCCCTGAAGAAGCTTTAAGATGGGATATGTCCCTTCTCCCTGACAACTTTCTTGCCTAACAGGAAGTGCGTAAGAGAGAAGTGAAATATGTGGATTGCAGCCTCTGCCCTGCCTGAAAAGCGTTGAACTTAAATATCCAGATAATATCCCTTGTTACTAGGGGAGAGGCTATCCTGCATGAGACCAGTCTCCACCCATCTTCCTGAAGCTCAGCTACATGCCGGCAGGCATTTCGGAGTTGGGATTATCCAACGATAATCTGCTATGAAATAAATACTGGTGCCAGAGAGGTGGATGTGGAGTGGATGAGTGCTGCCTGAGGTGAGTGCTTGTGCCAGCAAATGGGAGTTTGTCTCTTTCTTGCGTGATGTCAATTTTGTGCCTTGGTATGATGCTTTCCTGGAAGATACATTTCTGATTTTGTAATTCTTGGCTTTGTAGGCAACTAGAAAATACTCTTAGCTAGCATCTCCTGTGGTCAGGGTGCTTTTCTAGATAAGAAAAATATGAGTTTCCAGGTTGAATAAACACCAGTAGCTGGAGTTTTCTATTTCCCCGCATTTGCTTTAGCTATGCTGATATATAAAAAGCTGGTTACTGCATTTGGGGCCCAGCCTCAGAAGACTTTGCAGGCTGGGTTTCACACAGACGGAAGAGACTTGTGTTTCATGTGCCTTCCATGCAAGACGCTGGCGTCTAGCTTTGGGCACCTGGAATGCCTCAATTTGATCCTTGTTGTTCAAGTTCCCAAACATCACTAGTCTGAATTTGACCAGCTTCACCTCCTCAGACGTGCCTACGTTTCCCTTTATTCACTGAACTAAAATGCAAATGTTGTGTTTGCAAAACTGGGTTATGTTCCCTGAGAAAGTAGTTGGAATTATAGCAATGTGGTGTCTACATTTTGCAATGAGAAGAGACTTTTTGCTTATATGTCAACTCAAATTCCTGTATTTCTGTGGCAAAAGATGGTTTAGTAGTCCATTCTCCCATATATACAAAAATATTTGTGTATTTGATGTTGTGTCACAAATCTTACTATGATTTCACAAGATATTTTGTGCTCTAAAAAAGAGGCAGAAATCAAACAAAACACTAGCTAAGAGAACTTTGTGTTAAGAGGATAATACTTAATAATGACTGAAGGTTTTATGATTGGAAATGTAATATTTTATCCCTTAATTGAAAAGAGTATTAAGTTCCTAAATGGGCAAAATACTATTTTGATACTTATGTAAAAAAAAACTCAAAGAACTCTGTGTTAATTTGAATTGTAAATTGAGAAGTTTTTATTTTAGAGACTCACTGTGGTCTTGGCTCTAGAGATGTGTAGGTTTGTAATCTAGCTTTGTTCATTGGGCTTGTTCTCACAGACTACCAAGCATGCATGCACGTAAAATGCTGGGTTGCTTTTTGCTAGCAGAAGGAAGCTCTATTAGGCTTCCCTTATCTCTTTCCTGGCGGAAATGCATGTGCTCACAGTGCCTTTATCTGGGAAAGCTGACATGCCAAGCCTGTAGCTGGAGAGTGGCTGACAGGCAAATGCTCCAGCTGGTTTATTTGCTGAATTGGTATATGCAGGAGATAACGGCCATATCGCCCTTTCCAGCAGGTCTCTTCAGCCAGTGGTTTGTGAGTCAGAGTAGCTTTCTGAGAAGCAGCTAGCTGCTGTACTGCTGGGGTGTTTCTGTGCAAGGGCTCAGCAAGAACGGGAGATCCTGGGGTGGCTGCAGCAGTGCACAAGGCAGATGTTGCAGAAGGAGCAGAATGGGAGCACTTCTGAGTCGTGACCAGGCTTGACAGGAGTCAAGAGAGTCTGCTAAGTGGAAGTGGGGAATATTACTCTGTAATAAGGGCTTTTAAGGTACTCTTACTCTGCTGTGTCTTGTCTAGGTGGATTAGATAAGGTATGATAACAGAGGGATGTAGAAGAGACACTGGGACCTTGCATGCATGGGAGTGTGCATAACCCCCTCTCTCCTTGCTCTGACTGTGGAGAATCTGTAGTTTAGTTGGATCACCATAGAGGCAGAAGGGAGAGATTAAGTGCACGTGAGGAAGAAGAAGAAGGGGAGATGATGACCATTAGAATTGCAGAGTACAAAGCACCAACCATATTTACACTAATTTCTAATACCTGCCTATAAATAGGTAGGGTGAGAGACATAAAAGGGATGCAGAAAAATAGAGGAACTGAATTGTGAAAGAGGATCATATAGGTAGACTTCCATATGGAACACAGATATGGAGATAAAGTAGGACAGAACTAGTGCAAAGCTATAGCTGTACTGCGCTTGCAAAGTGAAGCAATAGCTAGGTTGGCAAGTTAGCTGTGCTGTTAGGTAGGAAGGATTCTGGTTAACCTGTGGAAAAGCTGACTAACCTGAGATCCTGCAAGATCCCAGAGATGCTGCAACTGCCATGCATCAGAGACCCCTAGGCATTGCGTGGAGGCTCAGTTACACCCAGCTCCTTCATGAAGTGCCTAATCCCAACCCTGAGGGAAAACGTGTCAGAAACTTGGCAAGTTAAAACTCAGCGTTTTCTTAAATGCTGTGTTCAAGCTCGTCTTTGCATGTCATCTTCTCCTTCTTTCTTTTCCTTAGCTTTAGAGTGAACCTTCTAAAGCAAGGAACATTAATGCACGTGCTTCTATCTCGTTCAGCAGTGCAAGCAATGACCTTCTGGTCTTAGAGGTGCTTGTGAGCACTTTCAGGAATGTGTTAAGCAACTTGACTAACACATGTCACATGCTCCTTCTTTCATCCCCTTCCCAGGAAGAGATGGGCATGTGCAGAGGAGTGTTTTGTTTAGGATTTTTTCAAATAACGACCTATATACACATTTGCATTTTAGCATCTGTTTATGTTAGTGAAGACAAGGTCATAGAAATGTATCCTATATTGTTACTGAATATAGTAAGGTTTTGTGATGTAGGCTTTATTTATTTATTTATTTATTTCCTGCGAGTGTGATCTTAGATCAGCCCTGAAGAAAGTGCTGTATTTTCCTCTGAAGAAGTCCCCATATTTGACGGTTTGATCATAGCCTTGATGTGGGGCTCTAGTCTTTTAGAGATATGGTCAGCTGGATAATCAGTATGGGGCTGAAATAACATAATCTGGTGAACTGTAGAGGGTGTGAGTAGATAAAAGGCATTTTCTGATAACTTTCTTTAACCTTATCAATTGTGAGAGTAGAAAGTTTAAAGCTTCAGAAACCACTGCCACATTGATCAGAAGGAGGCAGCCCTTTGAGATTCATATGATGAAGAACCGTTTGGAATAAGTAATGGTAAGACCATCTATGAATAGCTCTGCTAAAGCTTGAGACCATGCTGAGTTGGTAGCTTAGAAATTAATGAAGCCTGAGGAAGCTGTGCCTCCCACAGCACACGCTGCTGGCACCCCAGAAACTTGTAGTGCTGTCAGAAAGTGAAAGAGCCTTCTTCAGCCTTTCATAAAGATTGTTCTTTATTGTGGTTGAGAAAGCCTCACAGTTAGAGGAGATGACAGCTTACATACGTTGTGTGAATGCTGTGTTTTATCCTCTTAAGTTACTGAATTGATTGTTGCAATCCAAAGACTATATGCTCCAAGGGCTTTGATCTCCTCTGCCCTATTCTTAATCAGCTAATTATATTTGCAAGGAGTAGCTAATCACTGTTCTCGGTAATCAGAGGCTGAATGGAAAAAAGTCAATAGTGTCTGCCAATGCAGAAACGCTCAGAATGAAGTCATTATTCATGGCTTCACTTAGAAAATTAATAACCTAATTTTTAAGGAGCTGTGAGATGTGGTAATGTGTTGAACTGAGAAATGTTTCTCCTTATAACTGGTGAATAGGGAGAGTCAGAAGCATGTACAGGACTGTACTTTACAAAGGCTTTGAAAAGTTGAGTAATAATGCAAAACCAATGGTTGTCTGGAAGCCTCACCTCTAAAATGCAAAGTACTGCAACACTGAAAATCATACAGTAAAGGAAAGTTTCTTGCTAATTCTAAGAGCAGATATGGTCTCTTCAAACTATTATATTAAGTAAAATCCAATATATTAAGCTAACAATGTTTGTTGCTAATATATTTTAGTAAAAAGCAGATGTATTTCTTGTTTGTAATGAAAACATCATGTAATTTTACAACATTATAGGTAGACCCAACTTGATAGAATCCCTGCTTCTTAAGAAAAGTGCAAAACTAAATAATGCCTTTTCATTCAAATAATTTTGGAGGGCATTTTCTTTATGAAATATTGTTGACAAAATAAGTCATGTCTGCTGGGTTTGTTTACATAGTAAATTTACATATATTATCTACAGTATGGTAATCCCATTATTTACAGTTTGATAATTACTTTTCCGAGTGATACTTCTGCCTCCAAGTAGCAAGATTGCTATTTGTGACAAAGAAAAGAGGAAATTGTGGAAAAACATAACTCATGACTGTTGACAGGCCATCATTTTTCTCGTTTTTAAATATGAAAAACAAATTGAACATTGCTGCATGCCTGGAAAAGCTTTGCTGCTTTGAATAAATTACAAATTTGTGTAGTCTAGAAGCAAGTGTTTAATGTAGAGGAAGATATAGATGGATATGGATATAGAATATGATCTTTATTTTCATCTTTCTCTTCCTGATATTTCGTCAGTCTCTTTCAATTGGTGAAAAAAGGAGAGATTTGCAGAAAGCAAAGAGATATTTCATTAGACCAGTGAATATATTTGGAAGAAATGAGATTATTGAACAAACTAATCCTTCTTCAAGTCTGTGTGGCGGAAGCCTTGTCTGTTTTTCCAGATCTGCTTTTATCCATGGAACTTATCCTAGACCATCACAGCTATTATAACATGAAATTAGATAAAATGAATTGGATGTGGCTGGGAATTGTGGAAAATGTGATGTGTTACACCACTTTGTGATATTAGGTTGTGCCCTATTACACCAGTTCAGTGGGGCTATGATGGATTCTAAGCTTTTTGTGACACGTATGCAAAATCAGACACTTCTGAAAGTGCCTTGAAATTTCTCTTTCAGGCTGCTACACTGAACTTTGATAACAGAGGAAAAAATATGGTTAACCAGTATGCATGTGAGCGAGTTGTAGAAAATATTTGGAAAGCTTCTGTGGAGACGAGCAGCTTTCCCTCAGTAAGCTTTGATAGGCAAATGACTTAACTTACCCTTTTTTCAAGGGGGATAGTAGCAGATGTGATGTACTTCATAATGAAACTACACATTAAGCAGTAGTAGAAAATTGAATTAATCCAGTCAGATACCACTCAATTGCGTCATGTACCATTGATGTATCACGGTGAAAGGTATTTTGTGCTCATGACAACATATAAAAGCATATAGGCACCATGATCTGCTGCGGTAGGAGAAGTTACTAGGAAAACTAGTTACCTGCTTAAGGATGTGTTACACATGGCAAGCCATCAGAGTACAAGCCTGTGAATTTTTAAAGCATCAGGTAATGGAGAAAAACACTAGCAGCTCTCTTCAGTTGCAGATGAAGGGAAAGTTTAGGTAGGCTGCTTTGGAAAGCAGAGGTGAGGATGGGGACATTTTCAAGCGCCCAACATTGGAAGGACCTCACGGCTTAGAATTTGCCCTTCTGAACACGGTTGTTCAATCTTTACTTTCTTTAAGCACAGTGCTCAAGTGGGTTAATATCTGAAGTCCTTCCAGCTGCTTGCAGGAGACAGGCATGTTATTTTAAAAGGAAGGGGTTTGCTGTCTTGTGTGAATTAAAACAGCTGGAACCCTACGCTTATCTATTACAGATAGATGTGTGTTGGGCTAGTCTTTGGCACATGGCAAGTATGGAGCCATATGGTCGACATGCTGTCAACAAGCCTCTTCAGCACATACCTTTGCTTACCCCAAGCTTTCTCTATGACTGGTAGCTGCTACTGTTGTCTGGAAGATAAATGTTTCAAGAGCCTTGCGGGCTCTTCTTGAATGTATTAATTACATTCTTAAGTGGTACAACACATAGCAGTCTGGAGCAGAAAGCTGAATCTTCGTTTCTCTTACAGTGGTCAGAGCCATGATCCAGACTGGACACTTTATGCTAGTGCCAGATGTGTAGCAGCTCTGTCTCACTTGGAAGTTTTCATCTCTTGCATTCCGTTTCCTTAATGCCTTAATGTCTGAATTGTCCAGGTGTTCTATATGACTGTTTTTAATGTGTTCTAGAATGGGTTAAATGGAAAACTGACTATTCTGAAATTTCAGCAACTGAATTGGAAATTTATTTTCCAATGACCAAAAATGGTATTAAAATCATAAAAGAGTTACTAGTGAATGTAGGAAGATTAGGCCAGCAAAAATCTTTCCCTCTGAGGGTGTGTAATAATTTCAAAGAATATCACCTGTTTGTATTTTTCAAATATTAAAAAATACTTGAAATATTTTTTAAAATATTTTGGATGAAAGTTACTGATTTTCCTACTTCTTTACTTTTGATCATTAAAAAGGAGTAGGCAGAGGCTGACTGAAGAAGATTTCTGTTTTTAAAAATCATGAAAGATGAAAAGTGTGTGTACATATATAATTATATAAAAATGTAAAGGAAAACTCTTGTTACTGCCCTATATTTTGTACTGGCTGGCTTTGGTCTCGAATCTGCAGTGGTCATTTCCATTCATGAAAGTATCAAATGGAAACTCTCAGGCTTTCTTGTGGCTGGGACTTAAAGCTTTGTTTGTGGTATGAAGCTGAAAAAATCTTGACAAAATGTTGGAGTATATTCAGTAAATGGTGATGAAATCTAACTCATTAAATCTACCAGAATTTTAAATTAAATCTTACTAGAAAATAAAAGTTTGTCAAAACCTTAGTTTTCTGTAAGTTTCAAATTTTGTGATAAAGAAATGTGTTAAATGTTTCTACTTCAGCTAGACACCCTTGTCTCTTAATCAAGAGGCAGAGGAAGATGCAGAGAGCATTTTGAGTTATTTTTTCCACTGTGTTATAAGATGTGTTTCCCTCTTTCCTGTCTGTTTTAATTTATATGCTTAAGCAAAGCAAGAACCCCCCTGTTTTCTGAACAAGAATTGATATTTAGTGCACAAATCCCAGCACTGTGCTTCTGTACCATCCCAAAGCAACCTACTTTCATCTTGCAACACTATCTCCAGTTGTTAGATATGTTCTGGAAGGAGAAGTCTAAAATCCCCAACAAGTTGCTAAATAATTTTTGGGTTGTTTCAGATATATTTAGATGTGAAAGCCTTATAAAAGTTGATTTGGTTTCAAATAGTGGGGTGGATAGAATGAAATTTGTGCTAGAATCTCACAAAATGATGGAGTAATTGTAGATCATATGTACTATAGTTGTATAAAATACTTGATTTTGCTGCTTTTAATTTTAAATGAGTTGACTTCCTCTGAATCATATGCTATATGCTTTACCAGTAAGTGGCTGGCCAAAGCTTACATTCCACTTGCAGGTCTATATTTGGACTGGTTTTCAGTGTTAGATTGCTGTTGTTATTGTTGGTGAAGTGTCCAATTTTGCGTGATGACAAATCCATGTTATTAATTAGGAGAACAATAAAAATGATGTTAATATTCTTGTGCCAAACCATCTGCTTAACATTTACTTTTTTTTAGTACTAAGCATATGTTCATCAGTGTAGAAAAGACTGAAGTAAAGAACTGTCAATCTAAGGACAATCTCAGAGAATCTAGAATACACTGGGCACTAAAGATGAGATTCATCTTGCCCAGTGTGAAGTGTCTAAGAATTCCCTCATCCTGATGGTATTAAAGATGGGTTAGGCACCTATTTTCAGCAAAGATGATTCTCCCCATGACATTTTCTGTGAGAAGAACAAAACAAAATGCATATACGTACAGCCTGTTCTTTGTGCCAGTTATTCAAATTGCTAAATTTGAACATGGTCCTTGAGATCTGGCAGGAGTTATCAAGAGTAGAGTTTTAACTTGAAATACTCCAGCAAGCTCTGGCTATTTAGAGACTAACTTTGAAATCATTTAAACGGGCTGCTTTTGTGTCATATCCGATCTCATTACTTCCTGTATCTTTGGGATAGTGAACACAGCTGTTGAAAAATCAGTTTGTATCCACTAGGATGATAGTTGATGTACTACCTTGATTTAGCTAACTTTGCTTTAGTGGGAGAAATGTGAACAGCCGTGAGAGCTGAGAGCGTTTCCTAGATCTTAGTTTGAATGTTCACCGAGCCTTTTGAGAATTCAGCAAACTGATGTATTTTGGCAATTTCTGGAGGAATATGAGTAGCTGTTCTTGGAACTGTAGAGATGGCCTTTAGCAAGTGAAGATACAGATGTTAGAAATGGTACAGAAAGTGGTCATCCAAGCAGTGGAACAATGCTTCATTTTTCCTTTTTGTCAGTCCTCGGGGAGACACAATTTGTTCAAAGACACAGTCAGTGCAGAGATTAAGATATTGGTGGAGCTGTTTGGGCAAGAGAACAGCATGAATTCTCATTGCTCCAAGTAAGAAATTTTAGTCTGTGCTTGTTGCTTTTGGGTGAGGCATTTGCTATGGAGAAGTAAGGCACATAGGGGAAGGGAACAGTTTTTCTGATAAAAGATACTGTCTTCTAATAAGGCAGTTATAAATAGTAGTCAAGCTTCTGGAAAAAAAAAAGTGTTTTTATTAAATCTGCCATAGAAGGATTAATGTAACTATTAATGTATATAAATTTCTACGTGAAATCAATACTGAGAAATTACAAGATGGAGCAGTTGCTCCATGCAAAATACTCTTTTCCTGTTCTTAGAATAAATTCATGTAGATATATCAAACATCTATAATAGTTTATGGTTGCATGTTTTTACCCACAATTTCAATAAGAATATTATTCACTGAATGAAGCATATCAGCTTTTCAAATGCACACATGTGAGATGCATTGATTCCGAGGATGTCTCTGTGGGGAGGCATTAAAAGCTACAGTTGGAAGGATTTGCTGCCTGTAGAAATACCTTGAAAGGTTTTCCTTTTTTTCCTTCTCCTTCCCCCTCTGTCTCCATTTGGTGTTTATTGGTCTATGACAGGCTTGTGTCTGTTTCTGAATTTGAAATTTGAGGAATGGGTGTTTAAATGCTAACAGAGACTTCAAATTTTTGTTAGCTTTTAGAAAGCTTTTGTGTTTCTTATATCAGATGAGCGCAAATAAGTTTTTCTATCACAAAATATACGCTTTCCACTATAAATTATTAGATAAGAAAATGTTTCTGTATCCCTGCTATATAAAGCTGCAGTGAATCTTGAAGTTATTGTTAGCAGTGATGAAGAAGCAGTTAAATGCCACAGTGAAGCTTAGGAGGACTGTAGCAGCAGATACCCAAATACAACTATAAATAAAGTCTTTGTCTCGTGAATTAACAATGTAAATAAATGGGTCAGATTAAAGACAAGTGAAGCATGTTTAAAGTTTAGTGTGGTGGTTTTTGAACACCATTTAAAATCCTAATTTTCTTAGAATATTCTTTTGTTTGTAGTATTTTATTTGATACAGTAACATACTGTAGAGCTAGGAAATGAGGCACAAAGTGGTAGTATAAAAGAAACATCTGAAGTTTTATATATTACACACTTTTTCTGTCTTTTTTTCACATGTTTTTGAATTGTGCACTCTGAATAGCATTTAATTTTCCCTTGCAACAGTCTTCCAACTTGAGATGTTAAAAGACTATTAAGATGAGCTTTTAAGATGTAACTTATGTGAGCTGTGTCTTCCTGTGTTTAGAAAGCAACTGCCGTAGTTTCTGAAGCTCTTGCTTTACATATGAAAGTTTGGAAGTGATTAAGTAATGAAAGCTGCTGTGAGTCACAAACTAGTCCCTTCTCATGGTCTGAAACCATAATCATTTCAGAGGAAACTTCTTCAGATAGAGATTGTTTCTTTGAATACTGCAATATATCTTTCTGTCTCCAACCATGGTACTTGTATAGTATATTTGCAATAAGAAACATCATTTATCAAGGTGAAGAAAGTGAAGTATGATTCTTTTTTTCCCTTCCTCCTATGTCATGTAGTTCAGAGAGATATTGTTAAGGAATGGCGGGGGGGAAAAAAAAAAAAAAGCAAAGCAAAACTTATGTGCACATACTTGCTTCTTCCTGCAGCAGTTCTTAGAATCACAGAATCATTATGGTTAGAAAAGACCTCTGAGATCAAGTCCAACTGTAAACCCATCACCACCATGCCTAATAATGTACCTATAAGCAGTTGTGAGACTTTTAAACTGAGAAGTATAACCTGGTCAACTAAACTTCAAGTCTGATTGCTCAAAACTGAGATGGCAGTTTGATGGTTCTTTCCTTTCTATTGATAACTAAGAGACAGATAGTGAACTTGGCAGTTACTTATTATACGTTATTATCCATACGAAGGAAATAATATTATCCGTGGTGTGGCTGATCAGAGGACCAGAAAGTTAAGGTGCACAGTTCTCTATGAAAAGGTAAAGCTCAGTCTGTCAGTAGGGAAACAGAGCTCTGGTATTTGGAAGCTGTCAACAGTAGACAAATTTGACATGAAAAGCTAAATACTGAGGTTGTCAGAGTACAGATGGCATGTGGATTTGTGTCATGTATTTTTAAATGGCTTATTTTGAAGAAGCAGCTACTGATTAGACTCAGCAATGTCTAAGGGCAATCTAAAGCTAAGACATCCTTAATGATGGTTTGTTGAAAGAAAGAAGGGAATTCCTTAAGAATTGTGTCAGACTGTTCAACTGGGATCTCGGCACAAAAAAAGGCAGCTGATTTCAATGTTATGCCAAGCCCATTTACAGAGAACACATCTGTTTTCATAAGGCTGCAGGTTGGTATTGACCTTTGAAGAGTTTCATTGGAATGCAAATTTTTGGTATTTGGGACTTGTGCAGATTCTGCTGCAGTTTGCTTGGCTACACATGTGTATCTTGAGGTAGATCATAAACACGATACCACTCAAGTATTTTGATACAGTCATGATGATTCTGAGTATAAATAAACATGCAGCTTTCTAGTATTATTCTGGCACTGATGAAGTTCAGCCAGACATAAATCTTTGGGTTTGCTTTTAAAGTTTATAAAGAAAAAAGCATCTGAAAAAGATCTGCATAATTGGTTAAAGCTTTTTTCTTTTTCTAAAAGAAGAACTGATACTTTTTTAATTGCAGAGCTATTTAACACTGCTCTATTACACACGGAATGCACCATAATTGAAAGCCTTATGCAAAAATTAAGAGGACTCACCTAAAAATTTGAATAGCCATAGCTGCAACAGTATGTATGTAAATCACAGCTGAAAGATTTTTTTTTTTTTTTTTGCAATAGCTGAGAATAAAAACTAGGTAGTTAGATAAACAAAAAACTTGTGTCTACTGTTTTTAGTGGTGGTAGTTCA